GCGGGACAGCCCCGCGCCCAGCCAGCCTGCCCGGCAAAGTACTGCGTATCCCCCGCACACGCCACACAGCCCCGCACCCGCAGCAGAGCCCTGCGCCCAGCCAGCCTGCCCGGCCAAGTACTGCGTATCCCCCGCACACGCCACACAGCCCCGCACCCGCAGCAGAGCCCTGCGCCCAGCCAGCCTGCCCGGCAAAGTACTGTGTATCCCCCGCACACGCCACAGCCCCGCACCCGCAGCAGAGCCCTGCGCCCAGCCAGCCTGCCCGGCAAAGTACTGCGTATCCCCCGCACACGCCACAGCCCCGCACCCGCAACAGAGCCCTGCGCCCAGCCAGTCTGCACATCAAAGTACTGCGTATCCCCCATGGGATGACACGCACACACAACACAGCCCCAGAGCTCTGCGGGGCTCAAAAGCTCGTCTCGCTCACCAATGGAAGTTGGTCCAATAAAAGCTATGACCTCCCCGGCCTTGTCTCTCTAATGTCCCGTGACCGACACGGCTACCACAACGCTGCAGACGCCCAGTGACTGAGTTCGGATTCTCCCTCTGATCTGTGCAACAAAAGAGTTACGAATAATTGAAACAAACAGTTGAAATATTCAACTGTCCCAATGCAATGCTAAGTCCCTCTCAGCACGTCACCGGCTCCGTCTACCTTTCAGCCGCTGGGCCCCATCGGTTTTAGCCCATCTGACCTGGTTTGGGCACCAGCATTCCAGGAGCAGCTGCCGAAATATCTTTTGTCTCACTGTACAATTACTTCCACTCCCTTTTTATCCAGTGGAGGAGAAGGGCAGGCCGTGGTTATGTCATGCACAGACATGTGCTACTTACATGGGGTGGAGGGTGGAGAAATAGGCTGATCTGGGATCTACCCAGAGCAAGATTCATACTCCTAAAGCAACACGCCAACTGAAGCAGGTTGTACCTAGGGGCTTTGTAAGATGTTTTATAAGCAATGTTATTAATCTACATGGGTTTTAATAGTGTGATCACCAGTGTAGTCTGAGCACCTTGCGTCATGCATTTAGCACTGGGACGACACATGTCACACTTTGGTTCCTTCATCCTCTCCCCAGACCCAGAGGGAGACGCGTGAGGTCGGGAGTGTCTTGTTTTGGTCGGGTCTCCTGTGTTTTGTTAAACAGACCTATTGCCCTGGGTTTACGGTAGAGAAGGGAAGGTCCGAGAAATGCACCTGGTAGGGAAGGTGGTGAGGTCTGTGATGGGGGACTTTGTTCTGTGGTCTGGGACTTCCCCCAGGGACGGTTCTGTCTGCCCCACAGACGAGCGGCTCTCGTATTGTTGAGAGCTCCATTGGGCCATGGTTTTCCTCCAGGAGCCTGAGACGGTCTTTTAGGTATCCTGGGTCCAGGCCATACAGTGCCTTGAAGATAAAGACTGAGGCCTTCAAGTGGGTGTGAAGTTCTCTAGGAAGCCGGTGCAGGGAGTGGAGGGCAGGTGGGACGTGCCCACCATTGCTGAGGAGACGAGCTGCTGTATTCATTTAGAAGGAACAGATGGGCCCAAAGAGTCACAAGGTGTTTGCGTGACCCTGAAACTGTCCCACTCTGAACACTGCGAGACACACTTTGGGGTTTGCTACGCAGAGACCTCAGCTGGCTGGGTGCCCTGGCAGACGCAGCACGCAGCTCATGCCGCAGGTTGGACATTCATTGCAGTGATGCAAAACAATCAAACCTGGTGTTGGATACCAGGTAGCGTTTCCCCCTCTGCCACAGTCCTTGGTGGGGGAGGACAGGTTAGCTCTGGGAAGAACAGTCACCTTCCTGCTTTCAGCACAACAGCCAGACACGAGGGGGAGAAGAGACGGGCTAGCCAGGGGAGATGGCGCTAGGCTGATGCCCTCAGGATACCAAGCGGCTGCTCAGTCACGGACAGGTGTCCTGGGCGGGCGGGTCGGCCATGACAGCTGTTGGCCCAGAGCTTGCCTCCTTGGCCAGGGACATCATCTGGTTGGTCTGGCCGCGTCAGTGTCCTTCGCAGGCCGAGCAGAGCTGGGGGACGTCTCACTCGGCCGTGCTGGCGCCGGGCAGTACGGCTGATTTCAGGGTCAGGTGAAAAGCCGAGAGAGAGATCAGCCAGCAGGAAGATAGTGGGGGTCGGAAAGGGACACACGAGGGAGGGACTCGGAGCAGGACCTCACATGTATCAGGCTGAGGTTCTCGCTGCTGGAGTGATGCTGGCCAAGCGTCCCCTGTGGAGGACCAAGGCCGGGGCTCACGGCAACAGTCCTGCTGCCCCAGCCGGGGTGATGGTCAAAGTTCCCTCTTTGCCCCCGAAGCCTCTTCTTACCGGCCCCAAGAAGGTGCCGACAGGTCCATCCTCTCATTATTTTGCCCACCAATTAGGCCTAATTTCCCAAGCACCAATTGTGGTCCATTGACTCCGGTGCCCTCCCTCTCTTGTCTACCCGTCACAGTCCTAACACAGCCCTGGAGTGGTACCGTTAGTGCCTTTCCGTTTACATTAATTCCCTCTTACGTTTATCTCTGACACGGTTTGATACAGCCGGCACCACAGCTGCTCACGCACATCCACCCGCTTTCCGCCAGGGAGCCTCACAATGACCATAGACCTGCCACAGCGCGGCGGCTTTCTGGTTGGAGTGTCCGACGTGCTGACGTTTTCGTGCCCGGGGAAATCGCATTGCTGTCGTCCAGCGGAGAGGAGACAAAGGCAGGAATAACCGAGGCCAGGTCTTCGTCGTCCAGAACGGGATGGAGTCTCCCAGCCAAGTGGAGACAGCAGAAAGCATTACTTGTGGCCATTGCGATGGGAGAGCTCAGCATCAGCGAGGAATCCAAGAGTACTTCTAGACTAGGGACAGAACTGACCCATTGTGGATGGGAACCTTCAGTCGAAGGAGACTTCACCATGGCTGCAAATTCCTCCAAATACTTCCCCTGCCCACAGCATCACCTCTGTCGTGCTCGGGTTCAGCTTCGGCCGGCTGCTCTTCATCCCAGAGCTGATCTCACCCAAGCACTGGGCCGTCCTGGTGGCAGCGGTGTGATCGGATGTGGTGAAGCGCAGGCAGGGCTGTGCGTCATCGGCATGTTGCTGGCACTTGAGTCCATGTCGTCTGGCCCGTTCGCCCGGTGGTTGCATGTAGATGTTGGAAAGGGCCGGAGCGAGAAGTGACCCTGGTGGAGCCCCACAAGCGAGGGGCCTGGGGGGGGAGGGGCAGTTTCCCATCACTGCGTCCCTCCTGGAAGGACTCAACCCGTTTCAGCGCCTTCCCCTGGACCCTGCCACCTCTCGGGGGAGCCAGCCGAAGCTCCTGGCCCGTGGTGTGGAACGCTGCAGAGAGGCCCAGGGGCTGAGCCCGGATGGTTGCCCCTCTCCCCACTGACAGGAGGACTCAGCCATCAGGGCCATGAAACCAGCTCCTCTTCCGTGTCCTGGCCTGAAGCCAGGTGGTGCCGGGTCTCGCCTGCTGGCTGCGGTGAGAGGAGCCAGGAGCTGGCCTTTGGCTGGCTTCTCTCTGAGCGTGCCCAGGAACGGGCGGTCTGACACCGGGCGAGAGCTGGCCAGGCCTGACGTGCCCAGGGTGGGTTTCTCCAGCGTGGGTCGCACCAGTGCACGTGTGAAGGACGGAGGCAGATTCCCCCCCTGAACGAGGAGCTGGCTGGTTCGCGCAGGAGTGGGGCCAGTTGCACACGACTCTTTCGCCAGCCAGGGAGGGCCCGGGTCGGATTCACGGGTCTCTGCTAAGGGCTGAGCACGGCAGGCCCACGCTGTTTGAGTAGGTTGATCGTGGTCAGTTCAATGAAGGAGGGTGACGGTTCTTACACTGCTTGGTGCTCAGCTCTGCGACAGGCCCTCAGGCTGGAGGAAGTCATTTACCCCTCTAGAGACCTCCTTGAGGTGGGATTTGGCCGCCTCGTTGGAGGGAGGGAGGAGCCTTTTGGGGGCCAGCAGGTCACCAGGTCCTCAACTCCTTGTCCCATGGGTGGGGTCCAGGTGTCTTTTAGCAGGCTCTGGCATTCGTTGGAGTCCCTGAGTCTTCGTGGTTGAATCAAGGTCTTTCTTGATGCCCAGGTCCTGGAAGGTCTCTGAGCACTGCCCTAGTCAGGGGATGGTCTGTGGGTCCACGGGTGATCAGCTGTGTGGCCTGGACGGAAATGCCCTGTGAAAGTCCTAGGGATGGGGCACTCGCTGGGGAGGGCTCTGAGTTACTACAGAGAATTCCTTCCCGGGTGTCTGGCTGGTGGGTCTCGCCCACACGCTCAGGGTCTAACTGATCGCCAGATTTGGGGTCAGGAAGGAATTTCCCCCCCGGTCAGATTGGCAGCAGGGTCTTTTGCCTTCCTCTGCAACTCGGGGCATGGGTCACTTGCAGGTTTAAACTAGTGTAAGTGGTGGATTCTCTGTAACTTGAAGCCTTTAAACCATGATTTGAGGACGTCAGGATCTCCCAGGACGACAAGGCTGAGGTGCCTCTCCATGCACCAGTGAGCTCCTGCGTGTTTTTCTCTGTGCTGGTCTGGAAATCCACCTAAAATCAGTGTGAGCTTTGGTTCTGGTTTCTCCTGTCAGGTGCATGAAGTTGTCTTACCAGAGGCACCTCTCTTGCGTTTGATGTTTGCAGAGAAGATGGATGCGGCGCCACCCGCCTTCTTGGCCTCTCCAGCTCCACGGAGTATCCTGGGGGGGCCAGCTGGGCAAGCACAGGGCTTGCGGGGTTCTCCAGCCAGGTCTCAAAGGGACAGGCTACATCAGGGGCATCCTCCCAGATGGGGCCGTGCATTGTTTGTTAGTGGCAGTTCTTGCACTGATCAGCATCGGTTTTAATTTGTGGTGCGTTCCTGGCCCGTGCCGAGGCGGTGGGCCTGTGCCGTGTGCCGGCGTCAGTCGTGTAGAAACTGGTTTCTTACTTCTGTTTCCTTGGACGGCTCCTCCCAGCCTGAGCGGTGGGAGGCAGTGAAGTGGCTGTGGCCTTGGGATGTGCTGAGGGATGCTTGTCTGGTTCAACGGATGCAGTGGGAAAGGCAGGTCTGTTGGATACCTTTGGGGGCTGTAACCTGGCTGAGTCCTGGCAATGGGTGGAGCTGGGGTGGTGGGTCCCAGGAGCGTGAGTGCCAACCTCAGGAACCGGAGCACAAACCCCACATTGGCTGTGAGGTTTACCCGTCGATTTCACCAATTATCACGTCTAAACGCCTCTGGCACTTTAACAGCCTCACCAATGAGTCACAGACAGTCCCCTGGGGTGCTCCGATCTGCCTCGCCGCCCAGAGGAGTCCAAGCACCAATGAGATCCAGCTCCTCCTTGTTAGGGGGTTTTATTCCCTTCCCCCCCACACTTCGAGTTGCAAACTTAGCCAATGGGAGGAATTCACTTGCAAGACTCCTCTTCATGGGGCAGGGGGTTAGTAAACAAAAACGTCTTTTGTCCTCTGTAACGTTCCACTCTAGTCCATCTGGCATCGCTGGGCCTCCTCGTGGGGCAGGGCAGAACACCTTCTGCTGGAGACCAGCATTTCACACGGGTTAACGCCTCTCTCCTCTGCTGAGTTACACTGGCACAGAGCGAAACTCTCGAACATTACCTTACAGTACAGGTGTGACGAGTCCCCCGCATCCCCCCGAATCCACCTGGAACTGGGGTACCACTGAGCCGCCCAACCCACCGGCCTGGCTCCCTCTCACACTGCACTGCTGTGACAAGCTGCAAAGCCCTCTCCAGCCTGCACGTTCACCAGCATTCACACAGGTAGAGATACACCCAGCTGCAGTTACATGCAGGCTCGTTGACCAACCCCTGCATGGGAAGGCTACAGTTAAGGCAACTCCCAGCTCCCTAGGCACACACCCCTCTGGAGTATAAACCTAGAATTATACCGTCTTCAGCTGCACAGGGAACTGTACAGCGTAAGCTCATAAAATTCACCCCCTCCCTCAATGTGGAGAGGAATATGCAACAGCCTTCTGCCCCTGGGTTATGATTCCCACACACTGGTTTAGAGAAAGCAAAACCAAGTGTATTAACTAGAAAAGACAGATTATAAGGGATAGCAAACAGATCCAAGCAGATTACCTAGCAAATAAACGAAAAACTCAAACTAAACTTAATATACTAAGTAGATTGGATTTGAATTTAGCAGATTCTCAACCTAAGTGATGATACCAGCCGGCTGCAGATCCTTAAGGGACAGCTTGGAGTCCCCAGGTGTTCCATTCACAGGCTAAAAATTCCTTTAGCCTGGGTCCAGCACTTCCCCCAGTTCAGTCCTTGTTCCTCAGATGTTTCCAGGAGTCTCTTTGGGCGGGGAGTGAAGAACCCCAGACGATGTCACTCCCTGCCTCATAGAGCTTTGGCATATGGCGGGAACCCTTTGTTCCAAAGCTTGGTTCTCAGACCAGTCTGTGGAAAAACACTGACATCCAAGATGGAGTCTAGAAACATGTGGTCTCATCACATGTCCTTGTAGAGTCCTAGCAGCCATAACTCACAGGCGGTTCGTTGCATTCTCAAGAAGGCTCCCCAAGTAGGAGATAAGCTTCTCCTAAGGCCTATTGTTTTTTCCTAATGGCTCATTGCCCTGAATAGGCCCGTCCCCACCCACAATCTAGACCGACAGCATCTTGTCTAGTGGGTGTTCCCCAGGGGTCACTACATTGGAAATGCAGAGACATAGTCAATATGCATAACTTCAGAGACCAAAATGATACAGGCAGACAAATAGGAGAATCATATTCAGCAAATCACCTTTCCAATGACACCTCCCATGACTTATCTTGCATAAAATACATCGTAACGACGTCATAATCATATCCTGCTAATATCACTGTGAAGAATACGGGGTGCGGTATCACACTGGGATACAGCTGTTACAGGTGAGATGAATGCCGGCAGCAACTCACAAGCTTTCAATGACGTCTGAACGCTCCACACATCCTGATCATGCTGATCCCTGTCTGAACAATACCACATCCAGGGGAGCCGACCATGGAGCCGTCGGCGGTCCACTGAGGGATGGGGACCTTGGCATGAGCTGGCACCTGGCCAGGCTGAAAAGTGGGGTGTTGGTGGAGGCTGGAGGAGCAGGGCTGGGATTCAGGGCTCCTTCCCCGGAAAAGGACAGAGCTCTTAGGCAGTCTGTCCCTAGGGTGGTGGGAAAGCAGCTAGGGGAGCAGGACCTGCCCCTTTAAGGGCTCTCTGGATCCCCTGCTCTGGCCCTGCCGGCGCTGGCCCCGTGCAGGGCCCCCTGGAGCTGCCCCCCACTGGAGCTGCAGGCCCAGCTGTCAAACCATCACTTTCTTCAGGACCACCCAGGGTGGGGGAGGGGAGGGACAGTTGGCCCCAAGCCCTATATTTGAGAGGGCCCCAAAACCCAAGCAGAGCACAACGCCCAGAGCAGCGAGCCA